CTTAGAAGTAACATAGTAAAAAAACTTCCATTACTTTCATACCAAAATAATCCAAATTTTTTGTATGGAACATTATTTAAGCTCATTTGCAATGAATTTAATAATACTTTTACTTCTAAAACATTCTCCTTGAACAATCGCAAGGCATTTAATGAATGGGCGACAGTAGGAGTCCATAAGAGTAGACAAAGGTTATATGAACTTTACAATGAAAGGTCATATAATCCTAGCGTCGAATTTAGGGAATATGTAAAAAAATATTCCAAAAGAGTGTGCTCCTTACCCAAGTCATTGTATTTGAGCAATAAAATAAAGACTGCTTCTAATAAAATTAAAATGAAATGGAGTATAATTAATAGTGAAATTGGTAAGGTCAACTATCGCAATTCAAACTACCAGTTAAGTTTTAACAATAAATTAACTAAATCAGATCAGGACGTTGCAATGGTTTTTGAGAAATATTTTACTGATATTCCGATCTTAACCACTAAGTCATTGAATTCTTCTGCTGCCGTCGCCGAATCATTTCTTCAACAAAATATAAATTTGTGTACAAAGAATTTTACATTTCATAAAGTGTCATCAAAGGATATTGTAAAATATTTTAAGACTATTGATATTAAGAGAACCGCCGATCTGTGGGGGATTTCTGTTAATGTTATTGCGTCTATAATATATACAATCGCACCTCAACAATCTATTATTTTTAATGCTAGTATCGAATATGGTGTGTTTCCCGATTTAATGAAGCATAGTAAGGACCCCGCTAATTTTAGACCTATTTCTGTACTGAAAGTCTTGTAAAATTTTTGAAAAAATTATTCTTGATCAAATGTTAATTTTTTTTAATGTAAATAATTTACTTCATAAAAATCAATTTGGTTTCACAAGGGGTCGCTCGACAACTGATGCTGGTGTTGAGATGATTAAATATATATTTAATACATGGGAGAATTCACAGGATGTTTTGGGTGTGTTCTGTGACCTATCCAAAGCCTTCGATTGTGTTCACCATGAAACATTAATCAGGAAACTTCAACACTACGGTGTAAGAAGCGATGCTCTTAAATTAATTATTTCATATTTAAGTGACAGAACGCAAAAAGTTGTCATTAATAGTATGAGTTCTTCTGGGTCGATTGTACAAATGGGCGTGCCTCAGGGCTCAATTCTCGGCCCCTTTCTGTTTCTTGTATATATTAATGACTTACCTTATATAGTAGGGGATAACCATGTAATGTATATGACAGTTATTATATTACGACGAAGTAAATAATGCTATAGCTAAGTTAGTTATTTGGTTTAATGTTAATAATTTGCATTTGAATGGAACTAAAACTAAATGTATGAAATTCGTAACTCCTAATGTTAAACATGTCAATACTAATGTAATTTTAAATGGGGAGGAACTGAGTCTTGTTGATACCACCATTTTTCTTGGAATCACACTGGACGCAAAGCTTCAATGGCTCCCCCATATAACAAAACTAGCTAGCAGACTTAGTTCTGCAGCATATGCTGTAAAAAAGATTAGAACTCTTACCAATGTTGAAACAGCTAGAATAGTTTACTTTAGTTATTTCCATAGCATTATGTCGTATGGTATTTTGCTATGGGGACACGCGACTGACACTGAAATTATATTTATTTTACAGAAGAGGGCCATTAGAGCAATATATAGTTTAAAACCAAAAGAGTCACTGAGACAAAAATTTAAGGAAATTAATATTTTAACTCTGGCCTCTCAATACATTTATGAAAATGTAATGTACGTACACAAAAATAAAAGTAGTTTTGCGAAAATAAGTGATATTCATTCTGTAAATACTAGGAACAGACACAAGCTGGTAGTACCAGTTACTCGACTCCACCGAGTCAGTAATTCATTCTTGGGGCGATGTATACGCTTTTACAACAAAATCCAGAAATTATACAAAATTTATCATACACGTAGGTCAAAAATGTTATTAAACTAAGTTTGTATAAAAAGGGTTATTATAATATTAAGGAATTCATGGATGATAATAACTCCTGGGAAGGGTGATCACTAGCGCTATTTCTAATTTGTCTTGTGTTGCATTTATTGTAAACATTATTGTAAGCTATTATTGAAAAAAAAAAAATAGTCCCGCTGGGTTTCTTGCTGTTTCTTCCCAGGACAGAGGTTTTTTTTTGTGAACCAGTGGTAAATGTAAAAAGTGACTTTCAATAAGTATTTGTTATAATCTACATTGAATAAAAAAGTTTCTGTGTCTGTTTCTCGTACAGTGTAAAAAGTCAACATTTCGTCCTTTATGTCGTAAGAGGCTATAGAAAATGCCAAAAAATCCTCATGGCTGTCGCTCTAGCATGGCGTAAACGGGATGGTCATACCGCCTTCGAAGGCGGTATGACCATCCCGTTTACGCCAGACGCACAATACCAGCCGGAAACGGGCAAATGTATTCACGACCTTCTACCACCAGCGCGGCGCCACTTAGGAGTGCGGAGTGGCGTTTTACAGATTTTATAACGGGGGAAATTAATTTGTTAGAAGCATAGAGGTTAAAGAACAGGAGAACGATCGCTATGTACGTATAGCCCGCCTGTCCTTGAAAATTGTAGAATTTATAGCGACTGCGAAGTTAGCTGTTTATGAGAACAAGTAGATGAAGTTAGTTGAATAATGTACAAATTTTTTTCGCGGCATTGGTGAGAAAATTTTCATGCTCCGTAATTTTGTAATTTTTGACAAAAATAAACATTTAAAAATGGAGAAATATTTTATTGTGCGTGGATGTGCAAGTGGTTTAGCATCTGATTAGAAAAACAGACTGAAAATGACTTTTATTAAGCGAACTTAGCGATCGCAGCGCCTCATTTATGGTGACCATATTTCTGGGACACTATTTTCAACGGCGAATCGTTCTTCTGTTCTCTAGCCTCCATTTCTAGAAGTGTCAAGAGTTGTGTTTATTTTTGAAAGCTATTATATTTTACTTAGATTAAAATGGATAAATCAAACCACGGATATTTCTAAAACCAAAATTATTAAAAGTATAAAGAAAAAAAATTAAAGCGCACTCACTGAGGCGTTGTTTTATTTATGTGTTACACTAGAAACCGATTTTTTCTTATTCAAAACGCAATTATTCACATAGGGTAAATACAATTTCACATAGGCAAATAACTTTACCTCAGTCTGATCTAGCGACCTCTGGTGAGCGGTAAGTACCAGCCCTCGTAAGACAGGTCGGGTACTACGATCGTCAATCAATCTGCCTTACGTGACCATTGCAGCAAATCCTCCGTACTACGGAAGAGGCGTAGCGACACTACATAATGATTAGTTGTGACTGTGTAGTGGCGGTGTAAGAATATCCACTATCCCATATCATCCCGTGGGTGTCGTAAGAGGCGACAGAGGGAAACAAATCAGGAGATGGGCAGCAGCATCTTCCTAATGACGACTAAAAATAAAAAAAACCACGGTTGCCAACCCGATTGCTAAGTGTGGTAACTATGGCAAATATCCCACCTATTGGGCAATGTATGGTGGAGGTCTATGCTCACCAGAGGACTCTGATAGGCAGGAAGTGTATGGTAGCGCAGGGGAATAAACGAGTAATACCCCAACGGGTTAGACACGCGCATTCAGACACCACAATTTTTTACTTTAAACTTCTGCAGGCTGATAAATAAGTAGGCCAATGTAGAATGTTGCAGCACTCCACTGTAACTTCCTGCGATCTAGGAAATTCTTTATAACTGGATAAGAAGTTTGTGTTAGGGAGTGTTATTTTATAACTCATTTTTTGTAGTACAGTAGATTTCATATATTATGACCTTGATTGTAGCGACCATTTACCTATAGCGAAGTTAAATCTAAGTCCCTTGAATTTAAAGCATACTTTAGTACAAAATTCATGTGGTTATATAGGGTTGCCATCTCTAAAACCTGCCCCCCAGGACCGGAAGTGTAAGTTCTCCGGATGTTGGAGCTTTTACCCCGGACATTTCAATACTATTTACATTCAATTACATCTTGATTAAAATATATTGTACTTGATAGAAGAAAACTTTATTTTTAAGCCTCTTTTGTTGCATTAAATAGTGTGTTTAATCGTTCTTGTGAGGACAAGAGAGAAATACCGAACCCATAGCGTTTATTTACATAAATTACGGGAACGGGATGTAATCGAAAGACCGGACTTAAACTTAAACCCCTCCCGGACATTCCTCGGATGTCTTCCAAACCAGGACAAATCTGGGGAAACCAGGACAAATCTGGGGAAACCCGGACGAATGGCAGCCCTACTATAGCAACTTTGGATGTAACGCCGAGTTCGGGTGTAGCGACTGTTTTTAATGAATCATTTGTAACAAATTCCTAGAAATCCCATGCAGATATTTGGACCGGAGTCGGCCGCCAAAGGCACAAGGAATTCTTTTTTTCACTTATCTTTTGTTTAAATACACAAAGATGGGCAGCAAGTGTGGAGAACTTTACCTTTTGTTTATAGATATCAACTAAGTAGGTAGGGAAGCGCGGATGTTTTGGAGTTAAATTTATGGTTGAGTTACAAAGTGACATTCTGATTAGCATTTTAACTGTACCAGTGAATAACTACGTGTGCAAATATTTTCAATAATAAATGAATATAAACTATACATGTTACACACACATATACACACTTTGCCTGTAACAACTTCCGGATATAACGATGAAAATACACTGGTCCCTTCATCGAAGTTATATCCGAAATCCACTGTGTATATACAATAAGTGTCCAAGTAGAGGTGTCATCACAGTAAGAATAAGAAATGACTTCGAGTGGCAGACTTAGGTAAAAGTAGATAGTTTATTGACTACTTTATTGACTTTGTGGCAATCGCTGGGAGGAGCATACATTCAGCAGTAAATTTAAGATGAGATGGAAATGAAATATAATATACTTACATCACTTTGTATATTTTTATTTATAAAGTGTGTACATTTAAAATACGTAATGAACTAACTGTTACAGCAAGCCAAGTGATCTTTCTACTACAGCGTGTGGCTGGCCAGCGATTTCGCAAAGATCTGGCGTGTTAAGAATATCTTCAAAACCAATATCTAAGTACCGTCCGGTGATTACATCATGCTGAAGGTTTGAACTTGGAAGGAATGGTAATCTGCCAATCTGGAAATAAAAAAGTAACAACTCATTAAACTTATTTACATAATAACATTTTGACAAGTTAAAATCCTTTCAACTACATGGAAGAATTATAAAAAAATAAGGAATATGTTTTCTGTGCCTCAAACATGAACACATAAATATGTTATAATTAGCATATTTCCTCCTTAGTTGTTTCTTAAAAGAATTCATTTATGTATTACCCTATCCATAGTTAAACAAAAAACGTCTTGTATGATGTAAAAATATTGTAACGTCAAGTGAAATATTGGTTCAACCGCTTTTGTTCCACCTCACAAATGAACCTCTTGGCCACTTAGGTAAGATTGATAAAGACGAACTGCAACCAATAGTGTAAGCACATCCATGTTAAGCTACGGCTGTTAAGATGCGTCGGCTTTTGATGTTATTGTGGAATCAATATTATATCATTTAAGGCAAATTGGTAAAACTAAGAAGCTTAAAAAAATGGGTTCCTCAATAGAGAGGAAGCTTGTATCATATTGCTGAACTGGTGTAGAAAGGAGGTAATTTTAAATTAAAATGTTACACGCGATGAGAAGTACACTTTATACGCGTTGCAAACATTCATCACAGTGACTTAAAACATCATTCATCATTCATCACGTCGACTTTACTGAAATCGAGGCATTCCATCTTAGGGGTGACAGCACATATGCATTTTAATTCTTAATCGGGGTTAAATGTAGATGTCTATAGGCCACAGCATCCACTTACCATCAGGTGGGACTGTGTGCTCGTTTATCACCCTTATTCTATAAAAAAATCCAGGTGCCCAAGCAAAACAGTGCCCAAAACTAAAGATTAGTCAGAAGAAGCTAATAGTGACAGTTTGGTGGTTAATTGATGGTGTTATTTACAAAGCTTTCTTCCATCTGGTGCCACAGATCCTGTTGACTGTTATTGTCAAGAATTGCAAACGATGGTGGAAAAGGTGCCACTTAAATCCAGTTTGGTGAACTGTTCTTCGCCATTCCTTTTTCATGACAATGTCCAATTGCTTCCTGCACAATAGATGTTCGCGTAATAAGCAGAGCTAAATCTGGATACCTTTCCTCATCCACTAAATTCTATAAACCTTTCCCAGGGGTTGAGTTTTATTTTCTTAACTATTTTAAACAACGAATAGTGAAAATTAGAATTTCTCAAATAAATATATCTTTTATCTATACATATAAAAAATCTGTAAACAAGTCGTGTATGTAATTTTCTGGAAAAACAAGTCGAGGGGACTAAATAAAGGGTACTGAAGCCAAATTAGTGGTTTTAAGAACGTCTGTCTGTCTGTGTATTCACAATTAACGCGAAAACTACTAGGGGGATTTCCATGAAATTTTGTGTGTAAGCTACTTTTTATCTGATTGAATAAATTGAATAAATTCTGAGGAACTTCAAAAAAGGAGGATTAAGTATTTTCCTTCCTCTAAAGGAAATCATATAAAATAAAAATTTACATCTAAATGTAAATTTTTATTTTATATGATTGATGTATTAATTAGCCTAAAATTAATTTTAACAGTTGCGTAATAAATTGAACTAGCCGACAATCTACGTTTCACTTTTTGAAAACAGTGTCATCTAACGTAAAATACAAAAAGTAGTGGTATTTTGCATCGCGTTACCAATAAATTAAATAATATAAATAACTTTCTTTAAATACTTAAATTCATAATTGTTTTGAAAATTCTAATATTCATTTTTTTTCTTTCGTTATTTCATTTTAGTAGAAATAAATTTTTTATAGTAGTAACATCTGTCGAAAATCATAAAATTAAGGATGTTCCTAAGTTCAATATCTAACCTATAATTTTTTTTAGTAGGTATTAGTTTTTTTTCTACAAATAAACTGCTAAGTACTGCAATAATTACGAAACACTTATTCTTACAGTTTAAATAAAGAGATTTTATATAGGTGTTGGTCAAATCTTAGAATTTATAATATCATGAATCGATTATTGCGTGAAATGGCGATATTTAATAAAATTTAGCCGGACTATATCATGATATAGCTTGACCAAATCAATTAACAGAAATTGTTTGGCGATATTAACAACTATAGTCAACCAAATCTAAAAAATACCTTTTGACCTTTCACATTAATCATTCCGCAATAACTTTGCACCAGCATACGCACACGATTTAAAATAACCTTTCACGTAAATCCGAAGAATTATGAAGTTATCTACATTTCATTACAACGTGTATAGTTTTTTATCACTAATTTAAATTTGAATTTTTCAAACAAAGCTAAATATTAAAAAATAACCAGTATTAACTTTTTTATTCGACGTCGTTTCAATGATATGTAACAATACCGTAGTGTTTGGATGATTAAAATTCGTTGTTATGCGAATGATCGGCAAAATATTAAAATAATCGGTAAAAATTTTCAAATAATCGAATCATTAACTTTTTAATCTATTATTTGTTCAATTTCATTTTCATATTCAAAATTCCTTAATTTACATGAATCACGAATAAAACAAGTTTTTTTTTTACTTTGTCAAAGTAAATTTGTGTAGACAAAAAACTCATATACAAGGCCGTGCTAAAATAACCACTACATAATTTCAATATCCCGCCATTTCGGTACCAGTTACTCGACTCCACAGTCAGTAATTCATTCTTGGGGCGATCTATACGCTTTTACAACAAAACCCCAGAAAATATACAAAATTTGACGTAAGTACACAAAGTTTAAAAACATTATTAAACTAAGTTTGTGTAAAAAGGGTTATTGTAATATTAAGGAATTTATGGATGATAACTCCTGGGAAGGGTGATCACTACCAAGCTATTTCTAATTTGTTTTGTGTTATCAATTGTAACACGCATGATTAAGCTCTTATTTTTTTTAAACTAGTTCCGTTGGGTTTCTTGCTGGTTCTTCCCAGGACAGAGGTTTTTTTTTTGCGAACCAATAGTAAATGAAAAAAGTGACTAAATAAGTATTATTCATGATCAATATTAAATAAAAAAGTTTCTGTTTTTGTTTCGAGAGCTTACTGTGCGTAATTTTGTGGTGGTTTGTTTGTCTTCTCATTTGTGACTCTGCATTAACTTTTTGGACTGTTTCTTCTATAATAACTTTTTGTACGTGGTAGAGCCATGCTACATCTATATTATAGTTGTAGCACGAATGGGTCGGCTCAACCGGGGCAGGACCACGCTCTCACAGAATACCAGTGTAAAATAGCAGCGTAATGCTACTGGGTTTCGTATGGTGAGTGTAGAGAACCGGAGACCCTTTTTACTGGAATCGAGGCATTCCATCTTAATCCTCTGGGGTGACAACGCATTTGCATTTTGATTCTTAATTGAAAATAAATATGTATGTCTATGGGCCATAGCATCCACATACCATCAGGTGGTGTGTGTGCTCGTTTGTCATCCAATGTTATAAAAAACATTCGTTGAAGCATGTGCCCATGTCACAAAGGATGATTGGGCAAAAGTGGTATAAAAAAACAAAAAATTGATTATGGATGACTTTGAAAGAGCGTTTCATTCATTTTGACTGCATTATTGAAAATCAAATAATAATTAATATAAACAACGACATCTCTACTAGTTTTACAGAAAGTGATTGAATAAATTTATTTTTAATCTAGTTTCAATCTTAAATTTTTATAACTGTGTCTCTAGAAATAAGCAGTAACAACAAATACGAAGAAACTGATAAATATTGTGTTTTAAATTATCCGTTTTTAATTTATTCTGGTATTATTCAAACCTAACTAAATGATTACCAACTCTAAATAATCGATATCGATTTTTTTTAAGTATCGAATATTGTACGTTCCCATTTTTTGGTTGGCATGCTTGGTGCAATAAGTTTGACAGCTGTCAAAATGTATTTCTTAGATTTGGTTGACTATCAGATAGGGTATGGAGGGAGGAAGTGAGAGATACAAGTGTCGTGCCTTTTTTGCTTAAAATTTATTGTTTTATTAAGTGTTGTTGATTTACCATAGTAAATTTTTCTGTCTTGGTGGAGGTTTTAATATCTGTAAATTAGTAAGTGTTTGTAGTTGTGCCGTTTTTATGTAATTGTTTGTTGTAGTAATATAATGGAGGACGAACCTCCCGATCCCGGAAGGGTTCGCAATGATTCCTTTTCCTTACCCATTAACATTGATAATGTAGAACTAATTAACCGTAAACGTGCCCAAGTAAGTAACGAGTCTGCCCATCCACAAAAAATAGTTATTACTGATCCAAATGATCAGTTTCCTTCAATACAATCCTCATATACTCATCCTGATTTTATTAATAAAAAAGTTAAGTACTCTCAAGATGATGCCGCTCCTTTTCTAGTTCACGTAAGTAAAATCTCAAATGATCAGCCGTCTGGAGTAACTCTTAAACCAATAAAATTCGGTCACTTTCTGTATCATAACAATATTAAAAATATAGTCCATGATGGAGTCAAAAAAGTTGGACGAAATAGAATATCCGTGGAGTTTAAATCAGCTGCAGATGCAAACACCTTTATCGATCACCCAGCTCTCCAAATTTCTAAATATGAAGCAACCATCCCTTCATATAGTATCACTCGTATGGGGCTAGTTAGACAAGTTCCCATAGAGTGGACACTAGAAGAATTAATAGCAGCTATAGAAATTCCCTCTGGATACGGTTCTATAATTAAAGCACGGCGACTTAATAGACGATCAGTGAGTGACAGCAATAGCGTTTCATGGGTTCCAACTCAGACGGTTGTTCTAACTTTTTCTGGACAAAAACTTCCTCCCCATATTTACTGTTTTTACACCTCAATGCCAGTGGAAAAATATGTTTTGCCACTAATTCAGTGTCATAAATGCTGTAGATATGGCCATGTTACTTCCCAGTGCCGATCATCTCCTCGCTGCTTTGTATGTGCACAGAATCATGAAGGTTTATCTTGTACTCGACAAACTCCTACTTGCCTATTCTGCTCTGGTCCCCACACCGCAAAAGACCCTACATGTCCTGAACAT